TAGCCTTGGCACTACATTACCATCCTACAAGAGGTTAGTGGCCACCTTCGCCGAAGAAGGTTGATCAAGTTTGGAAAGGGTGAATACAACAAGGATTACCACTGCCAAGATCTGAATTATCATGATCGCCGATGTGTAGAAAATTATGCATCACGATTTCACTTCGTCCATTGATCAAACGCTGACAGTCAAAGATGTCACTTGTGATTCAGGTTAGATTGCTTGGATGTCCATAAAGCGCATATTAGAAGAATAGAGCCTTTATAAAACGGGGGTCGATTTCATCTTAGGGAGTTTCTATTATTCGATACGGGACATGCGCAGTATAAAAACATCAAGGCGTTTCAGCCTATTAAATGGCGTGCCTGCTGACCTTGGGGTTGCAAAGTTTCCCTCTTCTATCATTAAGCGGGTACCACAGTTCATTTGGCAGCAATTCCTACAAAACGTCAGTTTGTATGTAAGAGGTTTACGTGTATGAGTACTTATCCATGGCGTCTTTTATCCAACAAGAAAAGCTAAATTGGGTCTCTGTATGAAAAGATAAAATAATAACTTTAAAAATGTACAATTTATATTCCACTCATCCCTCTTCATACACATGCACATGGCTTATGAATGGTTTTTAAGAAACAGACTCAAGAATGATAGATTACGACACGGAATTTTACAGATGACATCGTTTGGCCATCCGGGGAATGATATACGCTACCCTTTCTCGGGTAAAGATAATTACCTAAAAAATATATTCTAAGAGTTTATTCGATATATCATACATATGGGATGAATATGTTTGAGATGAAGAAAATTTGAGCCAATTTAAGTCAAAAGAAACTATCTTTGTATTTCAAATAAATCTTTATTCAATTATTATCATAAAAGATATGTGGCACCATACATGACCATAAGTACACTATATTAAGACTCCTAATCTGCAGATTTAGGGAAACCTAGTTTCCATCGGATCTCTACATCTGAATTGAGCAGGTTCATAACGAATGGTTATGAACCTGCTCAAATAACATCGACTTCATTCTGTAAATAATTATTCTACTGTAAAAACATTTTATTTTGAAAATTTTGAGAAACAACTCATGGAATTCACGAAACTTATGAGGTGAGATCTCAATATCTCGTAAGCTTTTCATCCAAAAGCCATGAAGTTAATTTTATCCTAGATTTCCCAATAAGATATTACGTAAGTTAGAATTCACTTTGAATTGATGAATGACCTCAGTCTAACGATACATGTTTCATTGCTCTTAGAGAACACTCTAAGGCCTGCTTTGGATGTAATATGATTGTTTATAATTCATATACAATTCATAGATATTTGTGCTATTTTTTCATTTTGTATTGTAAGAAGCACCTGTTTCCGATTTCAGATGGAAAATTAATTTTGATTTTTATTTTCATAATGGATAATAATAATGATATATACTATACATTTGGTAATAATTAAAATTTGTATCAAATTTACCCTTGAGAGAAACTTTCACTTCTTAATTTCTGAAGGGTAATTTGAGACGATTTATCTCTGAAATCTTCAAAGTACTTTGATGTTCATCTATGTGCATGATTTCCTACTTGGTAAAACACTATTGCTTTGAAGAAGTCAATTCTAAAGAAATTATATGAAAAATAAGTATATTTGATCAATATAATTCTATAGGGTGAGTTGTATCAACTAAAAATAACGAATAAGTTATTCCCTGCTCTCCTTGAGTGGGAAATGCGTATTGTTGCGCCACGTATGTCCCATAACGAACCAAAACATAAATTTTTAACGAGGCCCTTAACAATTTGACACCTTGCAGAACTGAGTATTTATCCAAAAATTCTCTGACAAGTTAAGAAAAAAAGGCAGGTAAAGGTCATCAGATGTTGGAAAACAATCATTTACGGAGTCCACTTTTTTAACATAAACGTAATCAGTCGCATAAGGGAGCTTAACTTAATCATCAAAAGCGTTAAAAATAATAATCACTCATCATCTTTTGAGGACGTGTCAATTATATGCCATTGGTATGATACCGAGTCCAGAATATAGATTGATCTCCGCGGTAAGGGAATGGAATGATGTGCTGTAAACGGTGTTCGGTTCTGAAGTCAGTGCGGTCTGTCTTCATTGCGCTTTGTTGTCGCATTTAAATCCAGTTCATTAAAAAAGTAAAATGTGGCATTGCAAAAAAACACGATCCACGGTCAGCATGAAATTCACATGTCAGCCAGAAATGAAAATGAGGGAGGGTGTACTTTTCCTCACGAGAATATCTTGACTAGCTCTAGACGAAGAACCTTGCAAGCATACCATGCATACTCTCATTTTCGGTCAAGAAGTCTATAAGGTCGAGACTTCGTCCAAATGTCTAATTTGGAATTCGACAGATGTGTAGGTGTCCACCTCTTTGATGCCCTTTTTTTTTTTAACTTCTTGGACGGGTCAGATATTCCATTCAGAAAGATGATAGTAATAAGTCTTGTGTACTCCAACTTCGCTACAATACACAAGCTACGACCATGGTGATTTTCAGTTTCTGTTCCTTGACAACCACGGACCAGGTAGTTAGCTTTTCTCCAACTTTTGGTTGCAGAAAGTATAGCAGATGAGGGAGTCAAACAACCAACAGGGAATGAACCTAATTTAGATTGTGCTCAACTTTTTACATAGGCAGATCATAATCGGAGCAGAAATTTATGCTCAAATCTCAGAGGCTATCTACTATGCTACAACTTTCAAGCTCTCAAGGTATCTTACATTCACCCATTTCTTCAAAATAATCATCATGAAGTAAAGTCATCGACACTAATCAGGCAACAAAGGTTGTCAGAATTGTCTTCTTCGAGCTGGAGTTGTGAGACCACTACCACTATACTCGGATTTATTTACAAGCACCAAAGTTTAAACCCCTTCATTCTGTAACATAAATATCGTTAGATTCTGTATCACTTATTGTGAATATTTTTTTTACTGGCTGGACACGTCCTCTCTTTCTAGCAGGGGAGTGCAGCAAAAGTAGTAGGAGTTGAGGTGAATGTGATTGAGCTCACCTTCATGATTCAGAGGATCTGGACGACGTCTCGGTAGCAGCTAGATGATGGAAAAGAGTCGGGGCATATGACCTAGGTCTGTGTCCAACTCGTGGTTAATGATGAATGAGTTAGTACTTGTGAGATTAGGAATTTTCAGACGTGACGATGCACAATAATGAATTCCGAAAATATAAAATAGAAGTATATCTAAAGCTTTCGGTAGTCGACAACACATACTTACTTGGTCTTTGCAGGAAAGGTATCTCTATAAATGTCTGGATACTGAATCAAACCTTCCGTGATAAGGTACGAGATTGTACAACGCCTGCGAAGATTTGGAAACTTCAGGCTTGTTGTCCGTTATGGCAACATTGCCTATGTACTTGGAAAAGGTCTCGAGTAAGCGAGCTAAATCCATTGCAGGTTTCCGCCGTGACCTCAGTTAGAACTTAATGCTTTTATAGTATGATATAATGGTTACTCGCATTTTTGTCGGCTCCATACCAAAGCGAGAACCTTCAATGCTTATAAAGACGTCAACGAAAGTGACGTTATATACTTGCATCACGTACCGAGATGATACAACACACTTGAACACATACTCCATGGAGCAGCGTCTGGCCAATTTATTGTCGTCCTAGCACGTGGCATATCCTCATCTTAGCTTTTCTCTCGATGCATGATGGACCTTCATGCAGGAGTCGAGCTCACTTGATCTCAGTTTCATCCACAAGTGGGTCACTTTCAATCGCAAGTCATATCAGGCCTGTTCCATGCAAGTGGATGTCGGACATCAGAAACGATATCAGCTTCTCAATTCCATATAAGAAATTCAAAAACATGCGAGGGACGAGATCACACTATCAAATGGAAAATGGTGGTTTCATCATCATGTGATTTTGACTCAGAGAGCGTGTTTAAGCGAAAGGGGCAACACAACGATCGAGTGCATGCACTGCATGCAGTAGGCAAGAGAAAGCGACCATAAATCTACACATCGCACGCTCGAATCTCCCCGGAACTAGTCTTCTAACAGAATAATGGTAATCACTATCCTTCATTACTTAGCGAAACTTTCAACAAACTCATAGAATGATTAGATGAGGTCAGATCCATTCCACACCCAAACGATCGTACAGTAATAAAACAAGTTCCTTAACGCTAAGATAATATGATGACAAGGTATTGAAAGTTGTCTCTCTTGAGCGATAATCGTGGAGTCGGGTACATGGATGTGTGACTCACCAGTGACCACTACTACTGCAGGGAGAAGAGTATTCCTGTCGGCATGATTCCCTACGGTTCAGCTCGAGCGAGCGGCCTACATTAAGCAACTTGAGCAGAGAAGTTAGGTGGTTGCAAAGCAAGGCCACCTAAGGTCGCGGGAGTACTTACTGGTTACTGACTACACAAGAATTGACCGGTTAGTGGAGCTTGATTATTGGCATCACTACTGTAGGCCCCTAGTGGAATGGAATGGAGTGCAGTGCAGCGAGGTGGTGTTGGTGTTTATCGAAATTCGGGGTGGGGTGGGGTGGGGTGCGGGGTAACGAGGAGGAGGAGTAATTTGTCCGTTCCCCCTTTTGCTACATTCATCACTTTCTGTCCGCTTTCCTCTCCTTTACTTTCCTCCCTTCGCTTTGCTTTGGGCATGAACAGCAGAGTTGGGAACTGCGACGCTAGTCTATGGGACGGGGGGAGTGGAAGAGTAGGAGAAAGCAAAGCCAGCGAGCCAGCGCTGACTCTGACGATGGCTGATGACGCTGCAGGGGCGAACCCAGAGTCCAGACACACCAGGCGGAAGGTTGGGAGGTATCGTGGCGCCACGTGCCGAGGACTCGAGGAGGTTTCTGAGAAGAGCGCCGTTGACGACGGACTGCTGTGAGGAAATGCCGGCGAATCTAGGAATCTCTCCTGGCAAACAAGAGCACTATCAAAGAAATTCTCCATATGAAAAGGGCCGTCCCCGCTTCTTACAGGGCCTACTTCTACTTCCATTACTACTACTTCTACTACTGCTACGACTCTGCGTCTGTTGTCGTCGACTGCTTCTGTTTGTTTGTCTGTCTGGCTGTCTCGTATCTCTCCCTGCCCGTCCTCTCTTTACGTGCTACATTGCCAGCGTCATGGAAGTTTCGACTCCAGATTTCAAGTCCGAGTTCGGACCTGTCCTTCCTTTCCATTCCATCCCATTTCCACCCCGCCCGGCAGTCTGAAGCGATCGAGAGCAGAGCTGCCGGGAATGGGTTGAAGCACATTCTCCCGTCGAGTCCATTCAATCCTTACTTCTACCGCTGTGTGGCTGCCTGCTGGGTGGTGGTGGTGGTGGAGGAGGTGGTGGCAGAGTAGAAAGGACGGAAGGAATGGAGTAAGGGTGGAACTCCTGACCCAAAAGATCAACGAAGTAAACCGAGGAGTAGAAAACATGGGATCAGATGGGCACGAACCTTGGGATAGTAGGAAGGGCAAGGGAGAAGGGAGGGGCAGAATCATGTGCGAAGGCAAAACTGGGAGAGCAAGAGTGAGTGAGTGAGGGAGCGAGCGGGAGTAAGTGCAGTGAGTAAGTAAGAAGTAGAGGCTGTCAGGGGTGGTCAGTTGGGCTTTGACATTTCGATAAGGTGTTCCAGAGAAAAGCACCGCGATGTAAGGAAGGAGGAGCGATCTATGAACGGATTTCGAGGTTGGTGCTCCCCCATGTCAAGACCATCAAGCGCTGAGACGGATTCCATTGGATAGGAGTGCACTGGGCCGGCTGTCCCTGTTGGGTGCTTGGGGCGCATCAAGCAAGCAGCAGATGCAGCTGAGCAGACCTGGACGTCGTCAACAAGCGAGAGATGCTGTGGAGGCGCACGTCGCAGCCGATGACGATGGGCTCTCACCTACAGTCTGTAATATTAGGCTGACAGTTGCTATTTTGGCCCGAGAATCGCTTGGCCTCATTCGCGACGACTTCACTTCTCCAACAGTGACCTCCTCCGTCCCCACCGGACCCTTCTCTTCCCATCTCCTTCCATTTCATCCCAATCCATCCCATTCCGGAGGGAAAGATTACCTCCTCGAAGCGCTGCAGACTCTCAGGGTCAAAAAGCCACATTAATGCCCTTCAGCTCAACCCGTAACAATGTGCCACTGACTCTCAGAGAAGAGAAGAAACTAATCGGGAATATCGGGTGGATGATCGGGGGACAGCTCCGCGCACGAAACGCTGGCAATGAACGGCGAGGAAAGACGGCTCACGTTGTACAGAGCGAGTGAAGTTACAAGTTACTACACGATCGTGATGCCCCTTCAGTGCCTCGCGGCAGCGACTTGGAACGCGCTGATGGCTGCGGGCAACACCACCATCAGCAGCAGCAGCATCAGCTCAGGGAGAATCGGCGTGCTGCTGGTGTGCCACTGTCCCTAGCAGAGAAGCGTGAGGGAGCGCACGTGAATCGAATCGGCGTCTAGTGCATCTCTGTGACCGGCCCTCCTCCCGCTCTTCGTCCTGCTCGTCGTCGTCGTCCGCCTGAGGTGCAATTCTCAGAATTAGATTCTCCCTTCTTCCTCGAGGGGGAGGACTGAATTTACCTTCACCTTTATCATCTTCTCTCTCTCTCTCTCTCCCTCTCTCTCTTCTGCGAAACGTCCTCCCAGCTGCTGCTAGCACACAACGCTTTCACTAGCTAGCTCTCTCACGGTGGCCTCAGAGTCTTGTGAGTCAAGCTCGCTTCATGATCGCCACTGTGCATCTGACAGCCCTGGGCCACCTTCCCATGAACGCGGTTCCGAGTCGTTAACCCCCTGGAGAAGCGCAGCAGGCAGATCTCATAAAACCATGTGTCCTACATTGTGAGATGTCTTAGTGACAGACTTTCTCTAAAACCTCCTCGCTCCCCTCTTCCCTTCACTTCCCAGTCCTCTCCTCCCTCTCGTTATCCGAATCCACGGCCCCTCAGCAGCAGCAGCAGCAGCAGAAGCGGGAGCATTCTCAGCTCAGCGAATCGACCATTCCTTCAGACGGAAGCGGGGAATTCATTCCCAGAACCCCTTCCCGGATTCATTTATGTTCCAGCCATCCGGGAGCTCTTCTCAGCTCCGTATGCTCAGATTTGCCGGAGATTCATAACACCCATCGCCGTTCCCTTAGAATTCGCAACGTTGCAGCAGCGATGGCAATCAAGGCTTCTTCTGGCTGTGCACGGACGAGGTTGTGCGCTGTCATTACATTCCTAGTCCTATTAAAATTTCCCTCCGTTTCGTGCAGCAGGCCGATGCCAAGAGGCTCCATCTTCCATCTCTTCTCTAGCTGGGTTCAAAACCACGACAGTAGATTGCAAAACCCCTCATCCTCTCTCTCTCCAGCCCACGGCGGCGTGCCAGAACAGATTCCATACTCTCCCACAGTCGGAAATCAGGAGCAACCTCACCAGCATCAGATGTCCACCACCACGACTGCAGAAACTCTCCAGGACAAGGCTTCAGATTCGGAATCACACAAGGATTCAAATCTCGGAATGACGGCGGGCGATGAAAGCGCCAGACGTTTGCGGAGGCCGCCCGCATTCCAAATGCTACCGAGAAACACTCGACCTCCGCCGAGAGGGCCCAGTCCAGGAAGCAATAGTTTGGGGAGCCCGTGAATCCGAGCTGAGCTTGCATGCATGTCCGTGGACGAAGGGAGTCTTGTGTGGATTTCGTCTCCAGGCGGAGAAGATTCTGAATCGGCCGTCCGGATCCGCCCGCCCTGTCTTGGTGAAGTTACTCATTCTGATCAGCATGCAGTTCATTTCAGGGCACTCCCTGTCTGGCGTCGGAGACTCGGGAGCGCAATTCGGCGATGGCCTCAGATGGGCCCACGAAAAGCTCGAGCGCAATTCTCCAAGGATTCGACGACAACGACGGCGGCTACCCTGGCTGCGAATCTAATGTAATCAACGACTAGCTGGATCCTCGGACAGACGATACGGCGGGCAGCTGCGGAGATGAACGAAGGAGCTACACGGCTGTGGACTGCCTCATATTTCAAAGGCTGTGCAGGGATTCCCACCGCAGACAGGCAGCAAGATGCGAGAAGCCGAGTGGAGTGTACGAGTCTAAGCGCAGATCAGGCCAGGCGTGCTATGGACGATAAGGGTCGAGTTTTGTTTTCGGAGCTGCGAAAAAAACGCACTCGATGCACGGATGGATCTCGATCGCTAATAGCTACAGAAACTTCCGGAGCTCAAGTGCTGGAGTCAATTGTATGTAGCGATTTTGTTGACGATTGTGAAATTAGGAATATAGTGACAGTTTGTAAAAAGAAAAGAGGCTACTTATCCTCATCAAATACTTATGCTTCCGTGGCTGTCGGGAAGCCTGTGTAACATTCATATACTAGAGTGAGCTCGATCGATCTCAAGCGTATATCAAATTTATTACTTACGGTGCATTTCCGAAGATTGAATTAGAACTTTCTTCTGACTGCACTTTACAACCATTCTTCTGTTTAAAATATGTTCCAACTTAATAAAGATCAAAGACCACTACAGGGGGGTTCCAATCCTTCATGCACGATTCGAGTGTTTTAGCCTTCGCATTGCATGCCAAACCGTGGAAGACTTCGTTATCACAGTGGAGGCTTCTAGGGAAGCGCCCTCTCATTATTTTCCTTGGCAATCGAACGCACATATGATGTTCACGGTTGTCTGATTTGTCACATTTCGACAAGCCATTTATGGAGAAGGCGCAATGCATTGTTTCTAGACTTATGCCAGTGTTCGCAAGACCCCGAGTAGGACAAGGTTTCTAGACGTTGACGATTCTTCAAAGCGAGGTTCAGGCAAAAGGATAATCGTGGATTGATTGCGACTATTTCACTCTCTGCTGTTATCAGATCAAATATGAACTCCTTCCTCCTTGCGGTTCTCTGAAATTTGCAAGACCAATTATTGCAGGCTGCGTCTGACCATACACTGCGCACTGCAAGAGTGTGGGTATGGGGCAATTGTCTGAAAACCGAATCATGTGTACTTTGGATCTCAGGAGCAGAATCAGGATTTCTCCATCCAACAGGATTGGTGCTCGCAGCGTACCAGCCTCGGGATAAAGACCACTGCAGCGTTGGGATTGTTGGAAACTATTTCACGTCTGCTCAGTTCCACGCGATGCCAGCATATCCTTCAATACTGCCGGGGAAGATAAGCTACAGATCAGAGCTGGATGTTGGAGGCGGGAGCAGGGAAGCTTGCATCAAGCATCTGCGTTCACTGTATAGGCAAACGGTTGGTGGCCCGGTTGCAAACGAAGCCATTCAGCCTTCCTTCTGTGGATTAGCTGGCTGGCTGCGGGGAGAGGAGGCTTCAGCAGCATTCCCAGGGAGACAGGCAGGAAGGAGTCGTAAGTCGTAAGTCAAAAGTACTACAGCTAGCTTGTGACTGAATGGAAGCGTGCAAAAGTTACTATTCGCGTTCCGATTTGTGTACCATGCCACTCTTGTCCAGCTCGACGAGAAGTAAGGAACCTTGGGAAGGCTAGAATAGAATCAATGAAATTCATTTGTTCATAAATAACCGACGCTCATACGTGCGAGGATTGACCTCGCATGACGTGAAATCTGAAAATATGGCCCATGGTCGTCCCTGAGGGTAGGCTACATACATGATGGGCTGGGATAGAGAACAAGATCTTCTCTTCTGTGTATGGGAGATTGTTGAATGAGTTACTTTGGTGAGTAGTTTGCATAACAAACTGTGAACAGAGAGGGAGGAGTACACTGTCTTGCTCGAGGGAACATGACAAACGAACAGCTCGCCTCATTGGCTCGATCAGTTTCTTCTCCCCAGCCCAGCCCCCTTCTACTCTCCAACCCCTGACTAAGCGCATAATCTGCTGCTTCTGCTGCTGCAGTACATAGCGATTCACGAGTATTTCGTCCGATTGTCACGAAACCACACGAACGAATCCATCCAGCGTGCGAACAATCAATGGCCAAAGATACAGTTCTTGACTACTACTGAGTTCAAATTCTGTCTCTCACGTATGTTCTACAGTCCCACTACCGACTCACTCCCTGACTCACTGAGCCCGTCCCTCTCCTGCGAGGCCTGCCCCTTGAAGCACGAATTTCCCAGCCTCATTAATGCTCGATTTGAATCCCTCTGGCTGCCCATTGGCGACTGCTGCACCTGATGGTCTCATCTCTGCGTGTGTTCTCATATCCGGGGACTGGCCCCGGTAAAATTCAGTCCTTGTAACTACGAGGTTTTTTCTTACTGGCAATGGCAACTTCACAAGGCCGCGACTCCTGGACTGAGGACTTGAGAACGAAACAAGCAAGCTCTCAACGAGTCGTGGTCTGTGGTCCGGAGTCTGCAGGCCAGTCCAACCCGCGCTCGGCTCAGCTTGAATCACTGGAGCGAAAGGTGTTGTGGACTATGGGCCTTAGTTTAGCCCAAAGTCTGCTGGGTCGGTCGGGTTCAGTTGGATTGAGAAGGATAAGTCCGTCTTGAAGGAAGATTGTTAGGACGTGAGCGGACGGGTCGAGCAGTGAGCTCTGGGTGCCAGCTTTTGACAAAACATTCCCCGCCAGCATTAATGCTTGGAGTGCGAGGCAGCTGCTGCTTCCACCAGACAGGCATGGAGAGGACGGTAGAGGGAAGGCAGAGGCCAAGGCGAGGAAAGGAAAGGAAGCAACGCAACGATCTGGAGTTATTGCAGAATCTGGCAACCATTTCAACTCTGCCATTACCTTCCTGCAAAAAATGCATGGAAGGCACTTGTCTTATACTGTACCTCCGTGCCGCCGTGTCGACCAGACCACCATTCTTGGAGGTAATTTCCTATGAGAAACATGCGTGGTGCAATTGAATTGAGCTTCACATGGTCATTTGCCACGCTCGACAGCAGTTGGCGGCAGATACCAGGTCCGTTTGACATCGATGGGTAGGTTTTGAGGGGACAAGTTACCGTGCAGAGTTTGTCTTGAACTCACGAAGTTACGATTTGTAGGAACATGAAAATGAACCACTTACATGAACAACATGCCGCCAAACCTCAGAAGTGTGACTCCCTCCTCTCCTCTGCCCGTACTCTGTCACGATGTTTGTGTACTTGAAACAAACCACTTGTGTCTGGCGGGCCGAGCTTGTTTCCTGGTTCTTAGGATTGATGTCTTGTTCTATACCCATATGCATGACTCTTCAAATATGGCATTTGTAGTTGCTCGTGCCATATTTGTCATAAATAATTTTGATGCTATAAATAAGATGTAACCCCAGGTCAGGTTTGCTCTTGTACACTACTCAAAAGTTGTTGTTGTTCGCTGTTTACATATTATTGTTTATGAAATGTGGTCAAAGAAGCGCAAAATGCCATTTAATGTTTCTCACGAACTTGAGTTTGGACTAAAAATCTTCACAGAAAAACCTTCGTATGCCATCGTTACATAAATTTTGTGTCACTTTTGTCAATTATGGGACGTGAAAAGAAAGTCAGATAGAAGTGTAAGCCGACTAGAACCATATCGATCAAAGCTGTACTCACACCATCTCAAAATCCAACACTTGGCGAACTACAGTGAGTATCGTGCTCTGCCAAACAAATTTTCTTTGAAACTGCTGCTATATATTATCCATGCTCATTTTGTTGGATGTAGTGATTAGCTATATTTTGATATCAATGTAAACATAGTGCCACAATTCTACCACCTTTTATATGATCCTGAGCTGAAGATATCTCCATTGAACGGGAGAGAGAGAGAGAAGACATACTCCACAAAATAGTGTATCAAATGCCAGAATAGATCAAATTTCATGAAGCATAGATTACTTTTGAAACTCGATTTTCAAAAAAACCTTACTAGTGTATATCTTGGTACTAAGATCGTGGAGGGTGATTTCTCCATGGTTAGTTGGAAGAAAGATGGATACATATTTTCTTAAATGGATTTGTCATTCAAGTACAAAACGTATTGTTAACAATTCAAACAAATGAAAATTTTGATCATATTTGTCATAAATAAAAATTGACTGATGCCATAATAGACTGATTTATGACAAATTTGGCAATTGCCAAGTTAGAAGAAGCCTGCCCATATGAGATCAACTGGAGAAGTAAGAGACATATAGCTAAAAGGATGGGAACATGAAAGAAAGAATATGGATGAAATAACTTGAGACTAGGCCAAAATAGCATCGCTAGGGAAGAAATGTGATATTGAGACTAGATTTGTTTACCATTTTGGTCCAAAGATCTATATCATATTATGTGAGTATCCTACCAACCTTGACCATCACCAATTTTGATTCCTCTCTTATGGAGCTAGTGATCTATATACAACAGTCCATGTTACACAGAAGAGAGAGAATTCAATAACCTAAAATGACTTTCTCTCATGTTTTTATGTATCTCGCGAATCATCCATATCTATATTTTTATTTAAATTCAAGATTTTCAGTTTGAAAAGTTTTATATTCTTATATACTTGTGACTGGAACCTTTTGGTACAGTCAATGCTAGCTATATGAACATCTTCTATTCCAAGAACCTATGGTGGGCAGGTCATGTAACCAAATATGTCTACAATGATATTATGATATAGTGAAACAAATTTAGGATTACCCTATACATAACTACCTAGAAGTTCATATTAATTCAAACTTTGAGTGCCTTAATCAACTCTAAACCTACAATTTGTTTCAGTATACATCTCAATCTTCAAATAAGGAAAATCACTTGGAAATGTTAAATTTTTCATATTGTCACATTTCAAAGTGAAGATGCTGATAGATAGATCAAATTATGGTAAACCCTGATAATTGTAAAATAGATAACGTTCAAATCAGAAATGCATGATCCATGATTGAACCAAGATCCACCTACTTACTCTCTTTTTAAAGCAGAGTGTACGTTAGTTCTAGTAAGACGAAATTATTCACCTAGAAATAAAATCATGAGATGTCAAAAAGCACCAAATCAACTTACAATGTATCTCTTTTCGCAATTGATGCATTAACATTAAATATCCCAAAAGGGATAATCCAAAAATAATTCCTTCCATGCCCTTATATCAACCATAGTATTCATCTTCAAGATAGATAAAATTGTTTCACTCTCTCTGAGATTTAGTTGTCATCTTCCTATATCAAGCATCACTCTTACCCACCATAAAAAGTTAAGATAAGAAAATACCAACCCATCTCATTCATGGAATTGCATGTCATTCTATAAGTAATAAGCAATAGCAATGTAGCCTTCTATCAAATAATAATAGGAGTGAGAATCTAGTGTCGATTATAAAAACAACAGATTTTGATTGATTCGCGGAACATGCTTATGATGCGATGGGCATGCTAGATAGATCAAGAAATGCATCCAGTCAAAGCAAATCATCGTTAAAGTGATAATTCTTGATCTATTCCGTCCGCCTGACATGCCCATACGATCATAACTGAGCATCTTTAGCACACATGTGGTAAACCTCGGAAGGCAATGAGTCAATGATAAGTCAAACTTACGATATCAAACCCATGAGTAAAATGAAGCCAAAAATAAAT